TTGGCAGAATCAAGTCTTTTCGGATAGGGACTTAAAATCGAGATCCAATGTACACACCTGGCTTTTGTGCACTTTAAAGAACCCATTGCATCTTTTGGAAGAGTGGGATGTTGTCCTGATGCTATGGTTAATTTCAGCCCATCGTTGTGGAAAGATGTGAACTTGTTCCTACTATATAGGCGCCTCTGTACGGCTGATAGGTAGTCACAGACCACGCCCATACGCAATTCAGCATTATGACGCTGCGAGTTACGGGTTTTTCTCCTACCTTTACCTTTACTTTAAAGTTTATAGTGACAAATGTTGGTGATTTGCCTATATATGGGTGTGATACATACCCATGGACAAATGACATGCATTTGTCACATCAGTTTTTATTGGGCTATAAAACTGACAGTGACATACAGTAAAAGAGTATGGTGGTTGAGTTGCATGATAACAAATAGAAGGTTAATCACTTTGAGATTTGTGTTTCCCAGTTTTTTGGTTTTTTTTCCCCATTTTTTATCTCCACATCCAACAAGTACGCTCACCAATCACAGGATGAAATGACATTTTATAAACCAAGTCTCTTAATAAGTCATAGGCTACGGTCACACTAGAGTCTCAAGCCTGGCTTGACTCACCGCGGGTGAGATTTTCGTAATGTGACCGCACCTGGATCGACTCGCGCCTGGCGTGACCTCGATCTCAACCTACCTATCTCGATTCCGGCTCAGTACCCAGATTGACCTTGGCGTGACCGGGATTGACATTTCCTCGTCGGCTGTCGACCAATCACAGTCGATGACGCCGTTGCGTTTAGAAGTTCTTGAATAAAAATCCCACGGCAATCATCAGTTGTCATTTATAAATGCACTTATCAATCCGAAAACTAGCATCACCATTACATCTGAGCCTAGGCCTAGATCATCTAGATTCGCGTGTGGGGCCGGTATTTTGATTGTGGCGGCGCTCTAACTTCCTGTTTCGACTTTCCTAATTTGGAGGTCAATCCTTGAACTAAATTCAGGTAGTGTGACCGACCCAGAATTTCGAGCCTGGCTTGAAATCTCACCCGCGGTGAGTCAAGCCAGGCTTGAGACTCTAGTGTGACCGTAGAATTAGGGAGTGGAGTTGTTTTTGGTCCTGCTGTATTTATGGTTAAACCAGCAAATCTGTACAACATAAATACAAATGCACTAGAGACAAATAAAAAAAAAAGTATTTAAAAAAAAATGAGATCATGCAACATTACGTGGTTGTTTCACAGTACACATTTTTTTGAAAAATATACTGAAATTGATTTAATAAATTAGAATATAAATTAAAAATGTAAAGAATTATTATATTAATAAAGCAAGGAGAGAGTACAGTATTAAGGGAGACAATCAATAAAGTACATCTGCCAACATCCCACACATAATGCACCTACGTTGTATTCTGCACAGCATCATAAAAATGTTTAACATAAATAAATTTACATTAGGTTGATTACCCTAAATTTAATTAATGAAGTGAATTTGTCATTAAAATATGAATAGAGCAAGCCATATAAACTTGTTTTAATAAAGCTATACTGACCAAGGACTATAATCCATATCAATTCCACTATATTTTTTTTAATTAACATTGAGGGTGCTCTATTTTATGGTTATTACATAGAGGGCACTAAAATATAGGTAAGGTAAAGGTAGGAGAATAATTTATAACTTGCAGCATCATTGTGCTGAGGTGCGTATGGTGGTTTCATGGCTACCTAGCAGCCGTAAGGAGGTGCTTATAGTAGCTACAAGTTTACATCATTCCACAACGACAAGGGACGAAATGAACCATAACAGCGGAGTAACCTCCTATTCTTCCAAAAGATGTAATCTTTAAAGTGCACACGAGCCAATGTGTACGCTGCACTGCCATTTTAAGTCCTCTCAAAGAAGACTTGGTTCTACCAACCGAATCCTGGGCCTAGAGCAGCTGGAACCAGTGCCAATGTTAAAGCTGTAGTTAGCCATGTCCCTGCCTTCCACACGAGCACTCGACTCGCCCAAATTAAATACAAATTACATTTTTTTGTCTCACTTATCAGACACCAAGAAAGTTGGCAGATATAATAAAGTAGGCCTACATTAATGTATTTCTTTAGAAAATGTATCTGTAGCCATGTTTTTGTGGCCTTGTATTCAGGTTAAATGCAAATTTACTCTCTAAATAAATAGGTTATAATAACAAATTTATTCTTATATTATAATTTCATATAACAATTAACATAGCATAAATTGCTGACATTTAACAACACCTATTAATATGGTTTATTTACTCTCTAAATAAATAGGCTATTAAACAAATTTATTTTTATATTATAATTTTATATAACATAGCATAAATTGCTGACATGTAACAACACCTATTAATATGGTTTATTTACTCTCTAAATAAATAGGCTATAATAACAAATTTATTTTGATATTATAATTTTATATAACATAGCATAAATTGCTGACATTTAACAATACCTATTAATATGGTTATTTGTTATTGTTTTGAATGTCATAAGTGTTAAGTACACCGTATTTTGAGCAAGCAGGCAGAAAGCAACCACATCCTTCAGACTGTGTTTATTGCCAGCTTTTAATTTGCAAGGTTTTTTCTGCTTGAATAGTATTTCAATTCAATATATAAAGAAATTAATTTTTGTACAATACAATAATATGGGCCCATAAAGTGAAGGTTGACATATTTTTCTATAGCCATGAGCAAGGTACATATACAATACTATTGCAAGGTTTAAATATATACCATAGCATCTATAATATCGATCAATGTACATAAACTGTAATGTACATACAGTATACACCAGCGACTGGAAAATTGTGTAACCAGTGTTCGGAGGCATTTTGCATCACACAAGGCATTTTTTATTTATACAGTATATATATATGCTAAGATAGTTTCTCAATATGTTCATTTTATGTCAAGCGTTGACAAAGACTACAGGAGTAGCCGAAATATTCGCCTAATAAATTTTAGTGTTTCTAAAGTCAACATCTTACGTATTTGAGTTTCTTTACTGTTACGTTATATTATATTCTACATATGTTTCGAAACACACGTGCACACGCCTTCTTCATATATATATATATATATATATATATATATATATATTATGTTACATGCACCTATTTGTTTCTAGCCATACCTATTGTGTAATGGAGTGTATCTGGTGGTATTTGAATCTGTTCAACCATGAAGCCTCCGTGGTCTAGTGGTTATGACACTCGCCTTGACAGCGAGAGTTCGCAGGTTCGAGTCCCGTCAGAGGCATTTTATTACACAATTTCTTTATTCATTTATTTACAGGACTACATTCGTTGAGAGCTATTGCTACACGATGTATTTATTAAGTCTATGAAGCCTCCGTGGTCTAGTGGTTATGACACTCGCCTTGACAGAGAGAGTTTGCA